ATTATGTAGTAAAATTTAAAAGATGATTTTTTAAGAGAAAATTGCATATAGCTTTATAATTCCTAGATATATTATATATAGATAAGATTTATTTTAATTATAGATTGTTACTATATATAAATAATTTATTATAAAATAATTATTAAAAAAAATATAAGATCTAATAATATAAAAATATGTAAAACATTTAATATTTCTTTTCATCTTCTATAGATTATTTATAGAAAAGGAAGGGAATAAAAGAAATATTGAATAATTTTGTTAATTAAATTTATTTATTTATAAAAAATTCAGATATTTATTTATCTATAGAATGATTCAGATATTTATATAATAATTCTAATATTTGTATAATCTGGAAAAGAGTTTAATAACAAGAATTTTTGTTTTAAATTACTAAAATCTTAAGATAGTTGTATGCAGATTTATTATAAATTGGTAAATGATCTGTAAGCTCATGTATTTCTAATATATAGATTATAGAATAATCTATAGTCTTAGAGATCTTGATATATGTGTGACCAGATTTTTTTGCAAATAATTATTTATTTTTCTGACTTTTTAATTAATTCTTTTTTTATAGCATATTATATAATAAAATATAAAGAATAATTTTTTAAGAGAAAATTGTATATAGCTTTATAACTCCTAGATATATTATATGAAGATAATATTTGTTTTAATTATAAATTGTTACTATATATAAATAATTTATTATAAAATAATTATCAAAAAATACAAAATCCAATAATATAAATTAATTTAAAAATATATAAAATATCTAATATTTCTTTTCATCCTTTATAATTATTTTTTAAATGATTTTTTAAGCTTATATGCTTCTAATATATGGATTATAAAACAATCTATAGTCTTAAAGATTTTGATAAGTGTGTGATCAAGTTTTTTTTTATAATAATAATTTTATCTTTCAGACTTTTTGTTAATTCTTTTTCATGGCATATTATGTGATAAAATTTAAAGAATAATTTTTTGAGAGAAAATTGCATATAGCTTTATAATTCCTGGATGCATCATATAAAGATGAGATTTGTTTTGGTTATAGATCATTATTATATATAATAATCTATTATAAAATAATTATCAAAAAAAATACAAGATTTGATAATATAAATCAATTTAAAAATACATGAAATGTCCTTCCATCTTCTATATATATATATAGTAACCCACAAAAGAAATGTAACATAAAAATTTTACAAAAAAAATTTGTAAATGCACCTGGTTTTTATACTCATTTTAAAGCAAATAATCTAGAGAATATTTAAAATATATTAATACTGCCATTCTAAAGTAATCTATGAATATTTTTAATTAGTAAAATTTTAACTCCAAATACTTTTGTTATCAGGAAAAGAATTGATCTAATAAAGAAATATACTTCTTGAATGGGGATATTTACATATCAATTTTCAGATATTAGATCCCGAAGTATCAGATTAGTAAAATAATTCAATAACCTTTCTTACTAGTATTGATCTGATACCAATTTAGTTGAAAATTGGTATGCAGAGAGTCCTTTTCGAAAAGTATATTTATTATTAGGTCAATCCTTCAACATTCCCTGATAACAAAAATATTTGGGAGTTAAAATTTCACTAATTAAAGATTTATGTAGATCACTTTAGAATGGCAACATTAATATAATTTTTAAACATTCTCTAAGTTATTATTAGCTTTAAAATAACCAGGTACATTTAATTAATGTCAGAGGCACTAGAATCTTCGTGTAAAACTTTTTCACTGTATCCTGTAGCCAAAACCAGACTTAGAGCTACTTTGAGTATTTTATTTTAACAATTACTTTACATATTCAGAAATATTTAGCAAAATATAATTCTATAATATTAATTATTAATATAAAGTATCATATGCATTTGTAGCTCTTATTAAAGTCATTACATTTTGAGAATTGAAGTTCACTAAAACGCAATTAAAATATTTAATGTAAAATATCTATAATTCTATGGTTCAATCCGAAAACAATCGGATTCAAAACATCAGATCCGATTTTGGATTGGAATTGCTTACTTTTTGAATTCGATTTTTTGGAAATTGTCGGTTCACGATCCGATCGGAGCTTAATAATAGCCAATCACAATTCGATAAAAAGATAGCGATCCGCTCTTTCCACATCTTTCTCACTTTGAATTTTTTCAAAATTTCCAAAAAGACTTCGACAATATTTCCAGGATGAAAGTCACGATGCATAAATTTCGCTGTGAATTTTTGCTAGTTTTCCCACCATCTTTTCCATCACTATTGAATTATTGTTATTCCGTAAAAGTTAATATTAGTGCCGCATTTAAGATCTATTTTTGAACAAAAGCAACTTTTCACTGTAGAAAATCTTCATTCTTACCTCATGTGTAAACTCCCGAGTAATTTGCTTTGAATTAAGTAAATTTTAATTTCTCTATCTCGTGTATATATATTATATTGTCTTCATGATCCCAATAAGGATAACTCACCTTTCCATCCAACCAGGTTGCTTTATAAATTATCCCAAAACCTCCCTTTGCAAGATATTCAACGTTGGTAAATCTTTCAAAAAGAGTCAATTCGAATATATTTTATATTTATGCATGAATTTAATTAGATTGTCAGATATCTTATATTTTCGCAAGACTATTCATCGTTAGGGATGTTTGAAACACTCATCGCAACCCCAATTGTGTCTGAATTTACTATAATCATGAATATTGTGACCTATTGCAGTATTTTTCAACAATCATACGCTAACGCTAATGAGTATCTTTGAGTTCACTTTATAAAATGCGTGAATTGAGTCTCTATATACATGTACCCCCGAGTTCGTTTAACGTTAGTTCATCAATGCATGATAATCGAGCAACATCCATTTTGAAGTTTCGATAGTTCGTTACTATTTCGTATTAATTAAATGCGATCAAAGAGACATATCCACAGTAATGATTACACATATTATGAGAGTTTACGGAAATGAGATGAAATATTATTAATATGTTTAAAAAATTCATTATTCGTTTCGTTTGACTTAAAATAGCTAAACATATTAATGAAATTCCATAAAATTTCATTAAATCATTAAAGAATATTCCATTATTGTGAACGGGTTTACTTAAAATGCACTTTATCCGATGCACTAGTAAAAATTACGCTTAATATATGTTGAATTTATGAAATTCTCGTTAATATTGAAATGCTTAAAATCATAATCACATGGAAATACCACGAAATTTCCCAATGTGCAGTAACTCACATTCCAGTCCGTATTGGTGATAAATTAATACAATATCGATATGAATGATTGAATGATACGAACAGCGAACTTAAGCTAATTAACCTAATCTATTAACTTTGCTGTAGCATGACTAATTACTTTCTATTATCTTTTCTTTTCCTACTGTTTATTACCACTCTTTATCTCTCTCTTAATTTCCCAATTATTGAAGCCAATAATTCACATTGCATTTGACTCCGTTCACAATATTGTGCCTTACGATTAATCGAAAATAATACTTTTATATTTTTGTTGAGTATCTAAAGGAGCTACCCTGGCCATGTAATCAAATAAGACTACCGACATTGTATAATCTAGCAATAAATTTTGTTATTTTGCTAGATATTATTAAACGTGATTTTTTATTAAACAAATCGATCAAAGTGATGACACAAACATGTAATCCGCCCCAACATCCCGAAATTCCAACATCCCGACAACCCCACATCCCGACAAACTAGTCCATTATAGGGATCGACAACTAGCATTTCTTAACATTTAAACATCAATGCGATAAAATAATTCTTGGTGATTGCGCAACTTTATTTTTAATTCGTTAATAACTAACTGATTTAGGGAATTGAACGTAAATTTTAAAAGCAACACATATCATTACAAAGAAAGATTGTGCGCACTTCCAAAAAGAAAATCTAGCACTGAACGATTTGCTCGATCATTAATAACATTTATAATTCTTCCCTCTCTATCAGTTATTGGCTTTTACCGGGAAGTTGGGTTGTCGGGATGCTGGATTGTCGGGAAGTTAGGTTGACGGGATGTTGGGGGTAAACCCGTATATGGTGCAAACAGTCTAAAGATATCCAATATTTAATTAATATTTTAAACTGTAAAGGAACTTTATTTTATATATATACTGTAATTTCCCGAAAATAAGCAACCCCCTACGTCATCAATTTGTGGCCGAATTTTTAGGGGATTGCTTATTTTGAGCACTTTCCAAATGCTTAATCCCTATACTTTTGGACAAAATCAGAGGGGGTTGCTTATTTTCGAGACTTTACGGTAACTCTTAAACCAAATACGTTATTAAATAGCCTCTGACATGTTCTGTAAATTTACATATTTATTTTGTTGTTATTTATAAAATTTATTTGTAATTAATATCAATTTTAATAGAAATAGTCTTTTGATTGGTTAAATTTCAACATGCAAAATTACATTATTATTTTTTATACAAAATTTATTTTGTCATTGCATAAATTAAATTTAGCATAACTTATCATCACATATGATAGCTTATGGAAATAATAATCCAAAAATTCAGCGGCACCATACTGCAAAACAGATGAATTCTGCATAATTACTTAAAACTGGTAGTTAAATACATTTCTTAGAAATGATTTTACTAATTAAATCTTTTGGCATTACCGGTTGGCTCGAGTTTCTAGCTGTTATTTTACTATAATTATTTTGCGCATGAAATCCCCTTCCATGTTCATTTCCTTTACACGTTTGTTGTATACTCTGGGACATATGGCAAAATGGATTCAAGATTTGCACAAAAATCATGGTGAAATTTGGGTCGGCTTACAGCGGCAAATCTGGTTAAATAACGCAGATCTTTTTTTGCCAAAACCACTCTGTCATCATTAAAGACTGCCTTTATTATTCGCTTTTCGCATGATCCGGGATTGGAGGAATGGGTGAATATCGTTTAATCGGGTGACGATATAACAGAAGATTAATTATTAGTGGCATGAATTCGCAGAACTTTCTTAATGAATTCACTAGAATGATGCAACAATTGGAGACATATTGGAAAGAAATAGGATTAGATAAGTAATAAGATATTCAAATCTGGGTGAACCAATTTATTTCCGATATGCTTTATCTTAATTTTATGGCGAAACACTTGATAGTCTTTCGACAAACAGGAAAATTGATATCTCTACAAGTGATTCAGAAATGATTGCGAATTTAGCAATCTACTCTTACACCACCGTCCCTAATATTCTCAAAGAACCATCTATCACAATCTATCTAAGAAATACCACACAGTACATGACACAATAAAAAGTTCCTCATCGAAATCATTAGGGTCAAAGAAAGAAATACTCCAATTAAGGCCGATGTTAATTATCATCAACACGGAACGAGATATTTCTCGTAAGGAAGATGATAAATTTTCAAGACCTGCAACAAATGAAGAAATTTAAGTGGATATTTCAAACCCATTATGATATCTGTCTCGATCGTTAATTTCATTTATTTTATTCGTTTATTATGTTTAAGAACCTGATGAATTTAAATGACAAAATTTCTTTTAAAAGACATCAAATACATTCGCATTTTTCATTCAAAATGTTGGCCGTGAAAAAGTAGTCGCAAAAAGATCCAAGAAGAAATTGGCAAAGTATTTCCTGGTGATCCAAATAGTGAATTTTCTTTTAAAACAACTTGAACAAATCGAAACAGCTCTCAACGCAAATCTCGAAAATAAGCAACCCTCTACGTCATCAATTTAGACTGAATTTTTAGGGTGCTGCTATTTTCGGGCACTTTCCAAATGCTTAATTCTTATTGGTCTAAATGCCAAGTTTATTGCCAACGTTTGCGCAATAAAAAATTCAGATTATCAATTTGAAAATTTGATAACTTTGGGCCGCGACCTTTCGACGTCCAACCGTCAAAATAAACCATTCAATTCATCTAAATTAGATAGATCAAATAGTCCTATTTAGTCCAGATTGGATGGTTGGACGTCGAGATATCACGTCTCAAAGTTACTGAAATTTTAAATTTTTATATGGAATTCAGATTTACTTTTTTTTGAAAAAATTGATTATTAAAAATAAGGGCTGCTTATTCAACTTTTCAAGACTTTTGGAGTTGCTTATTTTGAGTGGTTGCTTGTTTTCGGGACTTTATGGTATATATTTAATTCTCCGTTTTTTTAGCGATGCGTCTTCACTCTACTGCTCCAATTATTTTTCGAACGAATAAAGGACGGACTGTTTTCCTTGGAAAACAGATACACAGTTTGACATAAATGATCAAGCTGTGCATTATAGTTCTGACCTTTGAAAGATGCCGATAAATCATCCCAGAGCGACATCTTATCCCTGATAAAGGTTTGAAAAGAATGTTCTATTTATTTGGAGGTAGATTACGTATTTGCCCTTGGCGCATTTTCGGCATGGCCCTCCTAAAAAGCTAGTGGTACTATTCTTCCGGAAATACAGCGTGGAATTGGTGAATCCTAATACACCAATTCGCACTAGTCATACGCAATAGTGCGTCTTAGCTCAAGAAAATGTTAGTACATCGGTCGTTTAATGTGACACAATTTTCAGCACAAAAGAACGTGTAATGCTGCATAATTTTCAGCGTGTTCTCAGACAAGTAGTTTACTGCATATTTCTTTTTTCCATTAATTTGTTTATATTTTTTTCTTCATAATTTCTAGAAACTTAATATAGATCTAAGTTAATGAATTGATAAACTCCTAACAAAATGTATATGTAGAACTCTTGGACCATCAAAAACAGAAATAAATTGTGTACAGTTTTTCATTGAATATTTGTAAAAACCTTCGCTATAAATGTATGCGTAACTTTAATTTATATTGGCTTCCTATTGCTGGAGTCGATGTTGAAAGATTTAGTGATAACAAAATATTTTAAATGAAAAAGATATGCATTATCAAAAAGAATCTATTGAAAAATTAAAGGTTTATGTTTTAATTTGTACCGTAAAACCGCGAAATAACGAGCATGGGCGTTATTTCGAAAATCACCTCTAAAAATAGCATATGGAGTCTCGAAATAACGCGCACCTATATAACATTGGTGAACTTGATAAATTGATTATATTCGACACAGAGTCTCGAACTCTTTTTATTGTTGTCATCATTCTTGAACTCGGTCAGGTTTAACAGAAAATCAACCTTTTGTCTCGAAATAACGCGCATGTGTGCGTTATTTCGTGGTTTTACAGTACGCTTTTTATTTATTAATTAATAAATTTAATTTTTTAAGTTATTTAAAAATCAAAAATTTGATACCTTAGGGCTTGATATCTTAACGTGCAACAGTTCGAATTGGACTGTTGCACGCTAAGATATCAAGCCTAAGTTATCAAATTTTTATCATAATGATCTAGACTTTTTCGGCTTGCAGAATTTACAGTAAATTACTGCGCAGAAATGCAGTAAACTGGACATCTACTTCTTTGACTGTTGGTTGTCATTCTTTATTATGGCATTTTCTCTCAATTGATCTATATATGTTATAATTGTCATGTACATGTATGTAGTTTATGCATCTACTATACAAGCAAAATTTACTAATTCGTATTGATTCTTGTTCATCGATATATAATTGACGTCAAATAAAGAAATTCCATTATCGTTATGTAATACATGCATGTAAATTACATGCGAAATAGGAATTTATGATAGATAAGATCAATGCAAGAGTTGTTTCCTGCAGTTAATTGATGTGCATATTGTTAAAAGATATGGCAACAATCCGTGGATATGCAAGCAAGTCAAATCAAAAATTTTCAACCAAATTTGCTCGAGCTTATGTTTGCTTTATCTTAATAATCAATTGACTAAATCAATTCTGAAAATCATTCCGTCGTCGCATTCAATTAATGTGTCATTTGGTTTTCATATATTTGGAACTCAAGTCATGACAAATGATTTATCCTTATGCGTTTTATCGTATCAAAGGAATCTGCAATAAGCGTGGATTCTAAACAAATATGACAAAATCAGACGAGTGAGTGAGTTAGTCTATAAATAGACAATAACGCCCACATAATAAGAATTCTGTTCAACGAATGTCCTGGTTATACCATTAATAGAACTGAGAAAAATTGTTCGAATGCTATAGATTGATTTAAATGTTGTTACAATTTGAAAGTACTTGAGGATGCATGCATTTACTTCAATCAAAAAGTCCTTTGTTGTCTTTAGCTTGTACCATATCAAGAATTTTCATAGAATGTGATTTTGTAAGATATGATTGTTGTAACTATAGCTAAAAATAAGTGATTGGCTATTAATATAAATATTGATATTAATATCGCAATTGATATTTACTTTATGCTAAAACAAATATAAGCTTTTGATAATTGATATGTTTTCTCATACTGAATTACGTTTTTCCATTAGTACCAAAGGAATAAATGATAAAGCTTTTCCACCCAAGCTCATAAATTTTGTAAGCACCATTAATAAATGCTTGTATGCATATCATTTAATTTAAATTCGAACATGTAATTTATGCACATAATTTACATAATTTGATTTTAATAGATGCAAGAAGACGAATATGAATCTCGAATACAAAAATTCAACGAGCTGTGGCAAGAACACCGCAAACCTACTCTTAAACGTTTTTTGATACTGCATGCTTTTACAATTTCAGGACTATGTTTGTTGCTACTTTGCTATATTTTTTATAAAAATAATGAAAATAACTATCAACAAACGTCAAAAAAGATTGTTCGTTTTCTCTTAATTTATCTTATGGCAACAATGGGATTTATGAGTATTTTCTGGATCTGGTTTCGTACTGTAACTCTTAAAGAGAGGGTAATACTAATATTCTCATGATATTATCCGAATCCCTTGATATTATTACTTATTATTTTTGTTCATTTTAGTCAATTAATGCTATTAGAATGTTGCTTGCTGAATATGATAGAAAAGATCTAGATACGGGAATTACTTGGGAATACTGGAATTCGGTTAATGGAAAAACTTCTAATTGGGTAATTAAATTGTTATATATTTGATATTTATTTTCGTTTCGAATTTTCTAACCGTTAAGCTTCTTATTGTTCATATAGAAGGACCGTTTCTGCGTTGGTTTGCCAATCTCTCAGCAAAAAGAGTTTCTCCTCATTAAATTACCTTCACAACCTGGAATATCTGAAACATCACGCACCACAATACTCCAAATATCTGACGATAAATGTGAACCAATTACATTATATCTTTAAATTAAGCAATTAAAATTTATGGTTTTTAAGTTTAAATTTATTGCTATCTAAGAGAGATTAAATTCAATTGCAGGTTAGCTTTACCATAATATGCAAACATGAGTGAAAGTTCCATCATTAGCATACTTTTCTTTTAGATAGCAAAACTAGTTTTTGTCCGTGCTTACTGCGTCAGTCTCACAATAGTTGGTGAACATTAGCTTGATAGAAATTGACTATTACTCATGTAATTTTTGAATGAAATGCATCTGATATTTTCGACTGCTAGATTAATTGTTATTAACGATTATTCTTTGTTAATAGAATTCAAATGATATATTGTATTTGATTTTATATCATAATCAATAATTGTTAAAGGACACGTACTGTATATCGATGAAGTATTCGATCTATCAGCCAATCTTTTCTTAAGTTGTGCACGCACAAATGTATAACCAACCTATAATAACACTTTTTATGAAACCTTATACATGTAGTGACCAACTTAGGATAATTTCATAACAATTGACATTCTATACTATATATATAATGACAATCTCTACCAAATTAGCGGTCATTATCGAAAAGTTGAATTTTTTAAATGTTCGTTTTTTAAGATGAATTTTCTGAAATTGATAAACTGCACGTGTATTAGTTATCATTCGAGCTACTAATTGAATACTTCGATATGAAGGTTTTCGCGTATTGAAAAGATGTTTGCATAATCGGCAATTTACTTATGTAAGAGTTGCTAATGCATTTCTAATTTATTCGTCTTTATAGTTGTGCTATTCGCGAATTGATAACGCGTATTTCAATTTAAATCTCTAATGTCACATTAATAAAATAATTTTTTATTGTATAATATCTATCAGAAAAGCAGGACAGTTCCGAATGAAACATATAGTTTACTTTAACAATTGAATAAAGTATACAAGTCAACCTCTCTATAACGACATCAAATATCCGGGTTAATTTTGTCCTTATAGAGAATGTCATTCTATAGAGATCAATTTTCCTATAGTAATGCATAAATCATTCTAGAAAATTTGGTCGCTATAACGAGAATTCCGTTATAAAAAAGTGTGGCTATAGTGAGGTTGACTTGTATTCGGGTAGATAACATTTAAATTTTTGCCGAATGGTGATTTTCGTTTCGTAGCGAAAATGAAATACATATGTGCTGATGAAATAGAGAAAAGTCATTTGAGTTCTTTGGTAGTAGATGTTGCTTTTAATGCATTTTGTTATTACATTTCGTTGACAAAAAGAAATTAATCTTACTTTTTTATTGAAAAACGACAACCAATACTATTAAAGTAAAAACCGAGTCATACAATAATATATATAATTAACTTTCAATCGTGCATAGTTCATTTAAATCTTGACGACTACTCATCCATTATCATAAAAACGAGATATCATTGGAATCCAACCTCTGCCAATCATAGAATTTTCGACTATCCATTTCTGATTTGCACTTTACGAGTGGCTAAAAATACCTTTTCGTAATCACACGCGATGCCGAATGCGAATGAATCACATACACTATATAACATAGTGGCAAAATTCTTTACTAGTAATGAAACTACTGTTTTCATAGGTATGGTTTAAGTTATCTATTTTATCTCATGGTAACACAATGTATATGCATTCAAAACCGGAGCTTAAATAGCGAGAACAATTAGCGAACCATTCCAGTTACGTGACATGTGATAGAGAGGTTTTTTTTATATCGAATATGTACATCGAATATGTAAATCAAATTTATAAATAGTCACATAAGAACTAGATGTGTAACATACATATGTATAAACCATGTATGTGCATGTATATGTTGTGACCAAATCACCGATCTAAATTAGAATAGAGTATGACCAGAACTAGTGTAAGGATATTGGGTTTCTGGGTGACAGATCGTGATCAAATTTTTTTTTAAAAAAAATACTCTTACATTAAAATATAGGTTCTATTAAATAATTGAGCAAAATTTAAGTTAATACATGTATGTAAATTATTGAGGAAATATAGTATAAAATATAATACATTTCTAACTATATCTTCTCAATGATTATATATTGATCGTATTTAGAACTTTTGCTTAATTATTTAATATCAGTTTAAGATATTTAATCAATAATAATTAAATTATATTTAGAAATATAATAATAAATAATAATGAATGTCAAGCTTATAAATTCAAGATTGTGACTAATGAAGGCAAAGATATCTAGATAAGAATAATATTGCATGTTAAGAATCCTGCTGAGAAGAGAAGAAAAAAATATCTATTTAATAAAAGATAATGTTGATGAATTTTAAAACTTGATTCGTATTCTTGAAAAAGAGCAGATTTAAAAAGATAGGATTAAGTATATTATAATTTAGAATTAAATTAAAAACTAACTCCTCTAATAATAATGTTGAATTCTTTAATTCTTTAAATTTATATTATCTGAATTATATTGAACAAATATAATAGAATAAAAATTTTGATATTATGATAATATCAGTACAAAATATGAAATCAGTAAGAATTTTACTATAGAACATTTATCCATATTACATAACGAGAATTATAATGTAATAAAAAATATTATGCATAATACAAATGAGAAAATTGAAAGAAAACTTTAATTATTTTTATAATCTCGAAGTAGAATGACTGTTACAATTATTTCATTAAAATCAGAAATTCCGGAAATCATGAAGGGAATCGTCCTGACCGCAACACCACATACTTTCCGACCCCCTATCACATTCGTAACCGCGCCCGTACCCCTTTTTTTTAGCATTCTTCAGCACACGAGATCGCATTGCGCCCCCTATTTTTTTTATTTACTAGCACACGTTGTCGAT